TACCCCTGTTTCATATATATTTCTTTTAAATTCAGTCAATTATTTCCCGAAAAATTAGAAGAATTAGAAAAATCGGTTTCCAGAAAATCGGTAGCAAAAAAATGGCCACGACATTTTCATCCCCGGGAAATTCTACCCCTGTTTCATATACTTTTGGTAAAAATTCGGTCCACTAACGAATGAGTAGTTCGCGTACATACAGACAGACAGACAGACGGACGGTACTTATATATATAGATTTTTATGTAATTAGTATTTTTTGTGACTAATTACTAATTTGCTAATTCAATAAAAATTTAATTCGTTGTTATTGCTAATTTCGTGAATAATAAAAAAATAATAAATTTTTTTGCCGATTCCTGCTTAACAGTCAGTACAAAATGTGTGATATCAATACAAAATTACCTTTTTCAAAAAAGGTAAAAAAAAGACGCCAAGTACACGCAATGTATTTTGTAAATTCAAAAATCCAACCTATAAGTGGTAGCTTTATTTAATTTTTTTAAACAAAATTATATCACAAAATTATGTTACCTAACTCAACCCAATAAGTGACATGTATTTCAAAAAAAGATGTGAAATCTTTAAATCACGCCAATTGCAAAAAGAATATGTATATATTGCTCTAAAAAATTATTGTTGTGCAACTACTTTGATAAAAAAATAAAACCTAAGTAGTATATATTTTTGTGTTCCCATTCAAGGGTTTTCTTATTCCAACCCAAGTGGTAATAGCTTTTTAATTCTTTTTAACAAAATTATAATATTACAAAGAATCATTTTAATCACAAAGAATTGAAGAAGTAACAGTACAAAATAAAAATATTTAATTAAAATAAAATTAATAACTTTTTTTTGTAAAAAACTTGGCGCTGCTAGACTTTAAAACTTAAACATTAAAATTTAAACATTAATACTAAGATTTTTAATTGAATAAACATAATTATAAACATAATTTAGGAAAAAATGCGACGGAAGTAAAAAAGCAGCGCGCAAAGTTTTTTTTATAAGTTTTTTAAAAGAAAAATTTATTAATTTTATTTTAATTAAATATTTTTATTTTGTACTGTTACTTCTTCAATTCTTTGTAATTAAAATGATTGTTTGTAATATTATAATTTTGTTAAGAAGAATATTAAGAAGCTATTACCACTTGGGTTAGAATAAGAAGACCCTTGAATGGGAACAGAGGACAAAGATATATACCACTTGGGTTTTATTTTTTCATCAAAGTAGTTGCACAACAATAATTTTTCAAAGCAATATACATATTCTCTTTGCAATTGGTCCAATTTAAAGATTTCACATCCTTTTTTGAAATACATGTCACTTGGGTTGAGTTAGGTAACATAATATCAGTACAAAATTACCTTTTTCAAAAAAAGGTAAAAAAAGGCGCCAAGTACACGCGCAATGTATGTTGTAAATCTAAAAATCTTAAATGGTAGTAGCTTTATTTCTTCCTAACAAAATAATTCACAAAATTGCGTTACCTAATTCAACCTAAGTGATACGTATTCCAAAAAAAGATGTGAAATCTTTAAATTGCGTTAATTGCAAAGAGAATATATATACTTTGAAAAATAATTGTTGTGCAACTACTTTTAAAAAATAAAACAAAATTGTGTTACTTAACTCAGCCCAAGTGGTATGTATCTTTGTATTTCTGAGAGTCTTTCTATCAACCCAAGTGGTAGTAGTTTTAATTCTCCTTGATAAAATTATAATATTACAAAGAATTATTTTAATCACAAAGAATTAAAGAGGTAACATTATAAAATAAAAATATTTAATTAAAATAAAATAAATAAATTTTTCTTGTAAAAAACTTGGCGCTGCTT